AGATGTACCAGAAACAAGCCTGGCTGCCATATTTTGTACCAGCTGAAAGTTCAAACTATTTCTTTACCAGTAACTGAAATTTTCTGAGCAGCTTCATGCATTTAGAAACAACAATATTTGCCAAATGGAACCAAAGTAACTCATCCCCAACTCATTCAGCAACTATTTCCTCAGGTTGTAATAGCAACAGCAGGACCTCCATCAACCCTGCTGAGAAGCCCACTTCATCAGGCTTTGCCTCTGCTTCAATTGTGATCTAGCAGGCATTATATTAGGCCATAACAACAGAAAGATATGCTCAAGGAGAAAAGAGAGGACAACAGATATTCTAATTCCTCCCATTCTTAACAACACAGGGTAGGTGTAGCACTCCCTTCCCACTATAGGTAGCCAAAGTTATAAAGTACCTTATAAAAGAACAGTGTCTCATGTGGAATCATAGTGCATCCAAGAGTAGATTATCCTGAACTTGACTGAAATGCTGTACAACTATTTTTTTAAAAAGTCTGCCTCAATTTAAAATAAACTGAAAAACTGAAAGCAAACAGGACCTAGAAGATCAATCAAAAGGAAGCTAAAGTAGCAATAACCAAACAGTTTGATTTGAGTGTTTCTTCTACATCATTCTATTCAAAAAAGTATTCATGTAGCAAGACTAGAAAATAGCAACATACCTGTTTTTTCTGAAGTTCTTAGAAACACCATGTCAGATGGGATTCGCTGATTCTGTTAGGAAAAAGTACATAGAGTGTTTGGAAATAAAGTAAATTATACCAATCCCATGTTCTAGAAAATGAACTAAGGTCTCATTTGGATTAATGCTCAATTATTATGCAATGTATCTGGACTCCCTGCACTAAGCACTTTCAATTCTATATATTTTTAAAAAGAATTATGAATTACTACAGTAATTTGAAAAACCAAAACAGAAGGCTTGAGGGTCATTACAGGACTTTATACCAGGCTTAAAGAAAGCAAACAGCAAGAAGCCTACTTACCTTCCACAACACCCAGACTTCTAGGCTATGTGGATAAGAGTTCCCTCCTCAGCACTGATCTCTGCTGTCATGCATGTTCATTAGAATTATGAGAGAAACATGTATGCCCTCCTCTTTCCTATCTCTCATTTTCATATTTAGGGGAAGAAGTGTGTTTCCTTCCAATCCCTACAATTTTTCTGCAAAGATAGGGGCTGGGGAACACTAAAGCTTACAGATGCCATTGACTATTATCTCTGGTTGAATCTACCAACAATTTTCTTATTCTTATTTTCATTGTTTTATATAGAGTATTTATTTATTCCATCATTACAGAAACCAGAGCTGTGCACAATGAGTATCACCATAAAATACCTATACAAATAAAATTTAGAATTAAGAAATAGCTTTAAAAACACTGTAACAAACTGAAAACAAGTACAAAAGCAAATAAAGCTATTACAAACAAAAAGTTTCAAACTAGAGCCAGAAAGACCTCAATATCAGCAGACTTTGTGCCTTTGGAGAAGCAATTCCACTATCGCAGTATTGGCGAACCTATGACATGCATGCCAAAGGTGGCACTCACAGCCCTCTCTGTGGGCACATGTGCCATCGTCCCATCATAGAGTTCACCAGAATTCATTACTAGAAATCTAGAGGGATCTGGCACTTTGCAATAAATAAGT